CACTTAAAGAAATTTTAATTTTCACAAAGAAATTTCTTTGATTTCATAAAGAAATTTCAAAATTTCTATGTGATAATACCAGAGAAATTTGAGTTTGAGTCAAAATTTCTCTGAATCAAGTGAAATTTTTCTGAGTCGAATTTTTTTTATGAAAATGTTAAAGAATCTTAACTAATAAAAAAAATATCTTAGACCTTTCTTACTATACAAAGTTAAAGAGGGATATTTCCCTATTTTAAAAAAAAAAAAAAAAACTAGAAAATGATTCAGAATTCTCGATGAATAGCCAAAATTCATATATGTTATGGGCTCACAAAAACAAATTTGTACCCATAGATCGACCCTTCCGGTGGGTAGAAAGTTCTGTTTGTACAATCCCGACTCATGTTTAAACCCATGACACCTTGGCTCATGTTTCTTAAAATTAATTGGTGATAGAAAGTGCTTCATTTAAATTTTTTATGGCATAGGATTGGGTGTTACATGGATGGTGGCAGAGCTAGAATTTTGGCTTAAAGAGAACACTATTGAGTTAAAATATTAACAAAAATTACAATTAAATTTAACTTACTTTTTATTTGATGGTAGGAATAAAAGTCACTCTAATACAAATGTTATACTTAAATATAAGCTCGATTTAATCGATCTTAATCAATTTTTGTTTTTAATTTGATTTTATATATGATGATCACATAGTTTGAAAAATAATCATATGCATTATAAAATATGAAAACAAAATTATATTGCACGCACAAAAGAGATGTAAATAGGGGGAAAAAAAAGAAATGAGAGAGAAGGTGAATAAATAATACAAAGGCATTGCTATATATCACTTCTTCTTCTTTTTACAGTTTTGAATCATTGAATTACATAGTAATATATTTGTTAGCACCATAAATCTGCAATTTTTATTATTATTTATTATTTATATAATTGCAGGACACGTGGCATCCTCTTATTCATTTGGAAGTTAAAAGAAGTTATAGAGATAATGGAGAATATGAAGGACAAAGTGGATGAGTGGGAGGACAAAGTGGATGAGTGGAATGACACATGGCAAGACAAGAATGAAGATGGAAGAAATGGGTAGTTACTAAGTAGTTATTGCTGTATTTTTTCTTCTATAAATAGCCATTAATGGCTACATTGTAAAGGGATCCAGAACTTAAATCAAAGACAATTGATTTTAATATTTCTTGTCATTTTCCTTATCTTAGGAGTAGTTTAACATAGATTTATATTTCGAAGCATTTATTTTCAGCATTTCCATTTCGAAGCATTTTGAGTAGAGGTAAGTAATTATTACTTTGATTGTTCACTCAATCATCTTTCTCCGTCTCCCTCATTCTTCTTTTAATTTTTCTTTTCGCTACACTTGGCAATTTTGAAGTCCTCTTCGTTGAGGTAAAAGAACCGTCAACATAATCGCTTGATAATTGGCTTGAATTAATCTGTAAGGATTTTTCCAATCCTTGCTGGCACGCTCGCATTTATAAAATTTTCCTTCGTAGGAAAATAAGCCAACAGATTCACATTTTAAAATTTGTCGAGTATATAATCCCTGTAAAATATTAAGTCTATCGGATAATGGCAATTGCGTATTTGAATCAGTTTTATATGAATCATTTATTTTTTCATTGTTTATTTATTTTTTATACGAAACTGATTCAAACACGTAATTGCCGTTATCCGATCAACTTAATTTTTTACAGAAATCATATATTTTCCGAATCTTAAAATGTATATAATTCAAATTATCGAAACGAAATCTAAAAATAAACCCACAGAATAGACTGAAAGATTCAATCTTAATCTCCAACTAAAGACAGACAAGCTGGACCTTTCCTAATTCATTCCTTTCCACATGCAAAAAGCTATAAGGTGTACAGTTTTGGCCACAATTGAGTTCTCACTTTCTTGAGTTTTGTTTTGTTTTACTGCAGTGTACCAAATAATGTTTTGCATCTTTTGTGTCCTAAGAAATGGACAAGCACTCATGGTATGTTTTCATACAAAATGGGAACAACTTTAATGGCCTCTTTTGTAGGCCTAAGCCACCTTGTTAGAGCATCTTTAATGTTAATTATAACAGCAGTCAAAGTTAAAATATGATAATTTGAGTTGATTTGGGTTTTCTAGTGACATGTTATAGCGGCTGTCAAATTTGATAATTGTCAAAATTTATATTAAATTTGGCACAAATTTTGGCAAATATCAAATCTGTTAGCTCAGTCAAAATCAACTGATTTCATTCATTCCTTCCTTCTCTTCCTCCCTTTCTCAAATAATTTTTTTTTTTAAATGAAATTCACCAACAAAAAAAAAATTAAACAAAATTCACCACTAAACCCTTCAAAAAAAAAAAATTAAAACCAAATTTCATCAAAATTTTGTTAAATAAAATCAAACAACAACAATGTATGCACATGCCGATTGCATAAGATATTACATAAAGTGGTCCTCCTGCGAATGTCCTAGAGGATGACCTCAATATTTTAGAGTAGTTGTCCTGGAAAATGTCCATATCTTGGTTGAGATTGTGCCAAAATGGCTTTGCACCATTGAAACTCTAATGCTATAATTTGACAATTTATTACTGCAGCATGTCAAATTATAATTTTGCCAATGCTATAATAACAATTCACATTAGAGATGCTCTTAGAATGACCTTTTAATGTCATCTTTTACCTTGAAAATGATTTGTAAGGTACAAATTTTAAATTAATGTAAAATTTGACTATTGTGAGTTATATTAAATTGAATCTTCTTTACTTATTTAATTATTGAAGGAGGCACAATTACTCAAGCCTATTTATATGGAACCTAGTTGGGTTGGACGAAGATCCCCGCTCCGAAGTGGGCCCTCTCTCTTACACTAAGATAGGCCGAGCTAAGGGATCAGTCTTGGCTCATTCCTTACTCCGAACAACAGAATCGCTCGCAAACGATGGAATGACGGAATCGCTCAGCCAACACCATGCAAGTGAAGGGCACGTGGTGCTCGACGAAATCACTTAACAGAATCTTTGCTCTCCTCTATTAAAGGGCATATTAGCATCACGGTTGGGTGTCAGGCGGCGAATGAAGACGACTGAGTACCAAGCAATGAACGAGGAAGCTTGATAAACAAGTCATACGATCCTTATAAAAGGTAACCTTACTCTCTTTGAGAAGGGGCAATCTATGGACTCTAGAGACACACTCGTACTCTCTATCTTTTCCCTACCAAACTCCGATGCTGACTCGACCGTCAGAGAGGTTTTTGACCAACCCTCGATCGGGCAGCCTAACCGTTTGTTCCTTACGCAAGCCTCTACCCATCGGTGTACTAGGGTTCATCTACAAAGTTCCATCTTACTCTATTGCAAAAACAAGTTCGCATATTTGGCACTGTTTATGGGAACCGTTCTCTGATTGCTTTGTGATGAACTCCGACAATGGGTATTGAAGAAACCACACAACCTGGGGTTGGATAGAAAACTCCAAGAACGGAGAGAGCCAAAGACAAGGGTCTGGCTTTCCTTACTGGGAATGACGACCTAATGGACCACGATAGTTCGACCATCGATACGGCGGAGCGACGTCATGCCGCCGTATATTAATCATCTCAACGACTGTTTGTTAAGAAGGACCACCGTGAATGCATCATCGACTCGATGAGTCTGGAGATTGAGGAGCTACGTGAACAATTGAGGGAGCAGATGGTGCCTCAAGGTGAACCAATGAAGTCTGAAGGGGGACCGTCACAGCAACGGAGGCACACTCCACCCCCATGATGGGAACGGTCCAACTACGGTCCTGTTCGTAGTGAGCGTAATCGACCAATTCCAGTACACAGTGAAGAGGCCAGCAGTAAGACGGAGAATCTCTAAGAGGACTCTCGCAAGAGACAGAAGACCGTTAGTCATCATTCAATAATTTATCCTCCTCCGTGCCATCGTGACGAGCGACCACGTAACTTGAGGACATAGTTGAACGACAACTGAGGGGATGACCGACGGTCGAACAAGGTAGCAGAACGGCGACTAGAAAGGGGAAAAGAGCATCTAGATCAATTTGTTCATCATATAGAGCTTCGTGCTCTAGACCGACTAGTTTCTTCCCTCCTTTGCCCTGAGATTGAAGCAGTGGAAGCTCCTCATAAGTACAGTCCACCAAAATTCATCCTTTATGATGGGAAATCAAACCCCCTAACTCACATCAGCCACTACCAGCAAATGATGTCACTTTGGAATCAGAACGATGTGTTCATGTGCAAGGTTTTCGCCTCTAGCCTTGGTGAGCACGGCCTCTAGTGGTATGACAAGCTTCCTCTTCAATCAATCTATGATTGGGCTCAGCTCTCCGAAGCTTTCCTTGCACGGTTTGTTTCTAATAGCCGAATCCCGAAGGGATTTGACACCTTGTTCAATGCTTGGAAGAATAAAAATGAGTCTTTGTACGAATACGCTCGGCAGTATTGGGAGGCGTATGGCGATTTAGAAGAAGATGTTTGTAGTGAGCCATTAGCAACTCTATACTTCAAACAAGGTCTCCCTTCTTCACACAAGCTTAGACAATCGTTGACGAAACGACCCGCCTCTAACTTGAAAGAGTTGAGGGCCTGGATAGAAGAGCAAGCTCGTGTGGAAGATGACGCTGCCTCCGTACAAGTGTCAGTTGCAAATGATACAGTTAAGGCCTCCTGGCAACAAAGGGCCTAAACAGCCTAGGAAGGAGGATCAGCGAAGGAGGTATGGCCAAAATAAGTAACTCACAGTAGAACCCAAAGAAGAAAGAAGTAGATCTTACGAAACCATAACCACTGTGTTCACGAAGGCGATCTACAGGCTCTTAGAAAAGATCAAGGGAGAACCCTACTTTGTTTGGCCCCATAAGATGATGGGAGACCCTGCTCGGCGTAATCAAGAGTGGCGATGCTCCTACCATTGTGAGAAATGACATAAGACGCAAAACTACAGAGACCTTATGAGGCATCTTAAAGACTTGGTCACTGTTGGCCACCTCCAGCAATGGATCGATGTGGAGAAGACAAGGGCAAAACAAGGGCAACCCCCAGCCCCTCCACCAAAGGACCAAGCCCCAAGGCTAGTGATCAACGTCATCCATAGGGTAACCGACCCCAAAAGGGATAATTCCTTTTGTGATGAGATTCAGAGAGCCACGCACTTGCAACAAGTCATGTCAATAAGACCAGTGCTTAAGAAGTCCAAAACGGAAGCCAAACCCTCTCAATTCGACATTATGTTCTCCAAGAAAGATCTGAAAGGGATCCAACATCGTCACACTGGTGCACTGATCGTCACCGTTGGTATGACGAACAAATTTGATGTGAAACGGGTCCTAATTGATCAAGGGAGCGCCGCTGACATTATGTATTATGACATTTTCAAAAAGTTGGGTCTTGATGAGCAACACTTAATCCCCACAATCTCCCCTCTGGTTGATTTCCATGGACAGACAGAGTGGCTGCTCAGCCGGATCACCTTGTCCATTACAGCAAAGTCTAAAGTGGTCTCCCTATCGACTTCTTGGTGATCAACACTTCATCTCCTTATAATGCAATCCTCGGTCGACCTTGGATTTATACAATAGAAGCGATGCCATCCACTTACCACCAGGTAGTTCCTTTCCCAACAAAGAATGGGATAAAAGAGATCAGGGGTGACCAAGTAGCAGCAATCGACGCCATGAAGTCTAAACAAGTATGCAAGGAAGCCCAAATGGTCGAATTGCCTAATCAGCCTGTACTTGAAGACGTTGGTAGAGTACCAACAGAAAAGATGGTGGAGGACCTCGAAACGATCTTGGTGGACGAAGGAGGCCCAAATAAGTTCTTTCTGCTTAGCACTTCGCTTCTCGCTGGAGAGAAGAAGCAGTTGCTACCTCTCCTCCGCAAGAATATCCAAGTATTTTCCTGGTCTACTTACAAGACTCCTGGGTTGGACCCAGCCTTTGCATGTCACCAACTCAATGTCCAACCAACAGCTCGGCCCGTAGTCCAAAAGAGCAAATGATCGTTCGCAGAACACACAAAAGCGGTCATCTATGAGGTAAACAAGCTTCTAGCGGCAAGGGTCATACGGGAGGTACAATATCTGAAATGGTTGTCTAACATCATTGTGGTGAAGAAAAAGAATAGCAAATGGAGGGTGTGTGTAACAACCCAAATTTTCAAATATTCTGTAAAATTTATACTAATATTATTTAATCACAGTTGGGAAAATATATGATTTATTTTGTATTATTATGTGTAATTTTGTAAAATAAAATAATTAGTTTAAGAATTGAGCAAGGTTTAAAATAAAAAAATAAAATAAAAAGAACAAACCGAAGCAACATGTAGCCTAGATGATAATTAGGCATGCATAGGTGTAGACTAGTGAGTCACCTTTGAGATAAGCTTGAATTAAGGGAGGAGAATTTGGAGGAGCCACATGTGTAAGTTGTGCTTGGGTTGCCTCCTATAAATAGGGAGGAGGTGATCAACTATGTGGAAAGAAAAGGAAAAAAAAAAAAAGAGGGGGAGAGGCACGTAAGTTGTTAGTAGTAGGAATTTATAGTAAGAAGGTTATGATAGTGGAGTAAGGCTAAGGGTCAATAATAAGGTGTGTTATATTATACCTTGAGTTACCATAATAGATTTTATGTATGTTTCGACTTACCATAATTTATTTTATACACGTTATATTTTATTAATTATATTAATACAAGTTATGTTTTATTAACATTTTAATTACATGGATTAATTTCTGAACTCTATTTGTGTGACACCCACCTCCTTAATTAAGTGATTAATTAAGTTAATTATCTGCTTATTATTAATTATGTGATTATGTGTTATGAGAATTATGTGCCATGTGATATATGTATATATTTCCGTTGATAGGTATTTGTAGTGTTATTGTGAACCGATACGTAGAAGAAGGAATTTAACCTGTCTGATTCGCTAATTTTAATAAATTATAATTAAGAGGTTGGATAGGAAATTAGGGCCTAATTCACCTTGGCATAATTCAATTTAGTGCAATTAAGCTTAGATGATGATGAGATTAATTAAATTTAAATTACTTGACTATAATTTAATTTAAGAAATGAATTACTATTATTATTATTGTAGAAAATTCCACTTATCTTTTAATTAAATTGGAAATATGTTCTTCTTTATCCATTTATTATTATTATTGAAGAGAACTAGTGGGCCTTGGTAACTCAGCCTTATACACGTAGAGAGAGAGAGGGGTGAAGTGCTCTAAGTGTAGAACTCACAAGGAGGAAGGAATGAAGGGAGAACTAGGAGGAAGTTGTGAACTTGACTGAATTTTCTTCAATTATCAACAATAGGTAAGCTTTTCTTTCCAATTTCTTGAAGCTAAAGCTCTTTTACTTATCACCTTCTAGAATATAAGTGTAATTGAGAAGGATTTGCAAGGAATTAGAGACCTTAATACATGCAAGCCAAGATAGAGAAGAATGGAGGGAAGTAGGTCCTAATTTCAACATGCATGTTATGATTTCACCAAAACTTTCTCCATTCATCTAGTTCCTTGCATGAGGTTAGGATGTGTAGGAGGCAAACTCACTGAAAACTTAAGGATTGGGACCCAATTTGCATGGTTTTTGAAGTTTGCATTGCAATTTATGGATTTAAGCTTTTTGCATAATTTGGGGCCTCAATTTGTGGACATGAATTTAGTTTCAAGTCTTCTTTGTTATGTGTAATATTTTCTTGAGTGTTTTGAGACTTGAATTACTTGGAATTAAAGTTGAATTGCTTGGAAATGCACTGCCCAACAGAGAAGTTTTCGAGCTCTATTTCAGTCCAGACTGCTCGAGCAGATTGGGCCCCCGCATGAGCAGCTCATCTCCACTGACCCAAGAATGCACACTGTTTTCTGCCGCTCGTGCGGCCAAGCCACCGCGCGTGCGGCCAACATGGCAGTTCCAGTTTTGTTCTTTGCTTCAATTTTTCCTTTTCCGGGCCTCTGTTTGCATAGTTTTTAAAGGTTTTCATGGCCGTTTACATCTCATGTGTGCATTAGAATGCATGAATGAAGTTAGAATCAAACGAGTGAACAATGAATAGAAATTAACGAAATAATAACCAAGCGAATAGAAATAGAAGTGACTGAATCCGAAATGGGTGAAATTGAACTGTTGTGCTTATTTTGTTTGTTAGATCGGACGCCATAGCTTAGTGCCGTATCGTTTGCGTATCGAGGAGCCCACTATGAGTAACAATGTTGTAAAGATATGTTCAATTAGGGGTGAGCAGTGGATATACCGATCCGCCAAAACCGACCGAACCGAACCAATTCGCCGCATTTTGGACGGATGCGTGATGACGGGCGGACGGTTGCGGATTGATTTTCTCCAATCCGCCAATTTGGCGGACGGATGGTGGATTTGAGATTTCTTTGGCCGCAACCGAACCGCCAAACCGCAAGCACCCCTAGTAATTTATAAGACTTTGTGTTTTCAATTTGTTTAAATATTATGTTTGTGTTTTCAATTGAAAAAGAGTTTAAATATTCTGTCGTAAAAAAGTTTTCAACTTGAATATATTTTTTGAATTGAAAAAAATAAACGTATTATTTATCTATATTTTTTGGTTTTTAAATCTAACTTTAAAAATAATAAATAGAAAATATGACATATGTTGGTTGATTTTTGTTTTCAAAAACATATATATATGTAACAATACAGAGACATACAATCTCTACTACTGCTCTGTTCATGGTTTTGGTGGTTTGAATTGTTATTATATTTTAAGAACCACAGATTGTAATACTTTATGTGGATAAATCATGCTGTGATTGTAATATGTAGATGAGGCATGTAGTCATCGTGATATTCTAAAGTTTTAAACTTTCTTTCTTTAGATAAGACATACAGTGATTGTAATACTTTTTTAAGTCATTGACTGTAATACTTTCTTTCTTTTTTTCTTTCTTTTTTTTGAGGAAGTGCACAAGTTGAATTATGTTGAAAATTTATAAAACTTTAAACTGCCAAACTGATTCGCATCCATCCGCCAAACCGCCAATCCGCTCAATCCACATACGCTGGATTGGCAGACGGATGCGGATTAATTTTCGTCAATCCGCCAATCTGGCGGACGGATGGCGGATTGGAGGTTTCGTGGCTGCAACTGACCCGCGCCCACCCCTATGTTCAATCGTATTTATTTTCAGATTGATAAATTATATTGTTTTCTTAGATGATACTTTTATAGATTGAATAATGATCCTACTTTGAACTGTATTCGTCACATCCATAGCGTATTGTGATTGTTATTGTTATTGTTATTGACATTGTTATTGTTATAGAGATCTCTATCAGTTCCAAATCTTGGAACTATTGTTATTGTATGATGGCTATCAATTGATTGTTCGGTCTTTTAAGACCTAGTGTATTGTTGCTTGGATGTAACCACGTATGACCTATATGAACATGACGAATCGAAATGATAGAATGAAATGATTGATTGACGAATGATATTGATTGAAAATGTTCTAAATGCTAAGGTGTCGTTTGGTAATACTTACGTTTTTAGTTTTCTGTTTATATTTATAAAAATTTTAAAAACTCAAATAAAAACTTGTTTGGTAAAATTTTTGATTTATAAATCAGTGGTCTCAGTTTATAAATTTCGTCAAAAAATGTGTTTTTATTTTGAGTTTTGAGTTTTTTTTTTTTTTTA